TGTGCTTCTTCCATGTGGACTTTGTTGCTTCTCAGCTAGAAGGCCACTTGTTTATCTTCAAACCTTTAAGACCCAGACACTATATCTTTTGATGGCCAGGCACCATCAGCTTTCTTCACCATATTTGCTATGCACCATTTTGTCCTCAGCGATTGTGTCAGGAAGGTGAGCATCACGGAATGTCAGATTATTACAACAAAGTGTTCTTGCGTTGAAGGGGTACTTGAGTAGAGGCCCAATGTCCATCTGCTACCTTGATACTTCACATATAAATATATGTACATAGATCTATTTTCCTATTGTTATATATAATATGTTAACATATGTACATGCCTGTATTTAGACCTATAAATTCCCTTTACCTCTTAGTTCTTTCCTCTGTTTCTACAAGGATCTTTAAACATGTTTTTGGTAAAACCGTGCATGTGTGAACTGGAAGACCTAGTAACCATATTTCTTGATTTACCCATATGTAGCAGCTGATATGGTTTTATAAATAACTAAATGAGGGAACTTCAAAAAGTTCGTGGAAAAATACATTAAAACAATTGAATTTCTATATGAACTTTTTGAATCACTTTATATTTAAGTTTGTTGTTCCTGTGCCAATAAGGTAAATTTTCAACTCCTTGCAGCTCCATATGACATAACTATCCCATACGGTTTTATAGGCTATAATATTGACAGAAGCAGGTCACCAGGTCTTTCATTGAGCCTCTGGGAGGCTTAGAACCTCTAACCTTTTAGTTAGCCCCAGAGTTCTTAGCATTGTACTACCAGGACTCTTTATATTCGGGATTTGTATTCAGTATATTCAGGATTAGAGAGCTATATATTCTTGCATCGTGTTTACTAATAACAATCGTATTCTCTTTTCTTACAAATCTGTGTAACTAAAATATATATGAGATTAGCTAATTGTTAAGAGCCTTGAAGACACAGTGGTTACACATTAGGCTGTTAACTACAAGGTCAGCAGTTTGAAACCACCAGCTGCTCCGTGGAAGAAAGACAGTGTGTTTTACTCCCATAAAGAGTTATGGTCTCAGAAACTTACATCAACTCAATGGTTTGGTTTTTGGTTTTATCTTGTGCCTGACCCATTACTTGATGATCTATACATGTGTATTTATTCTTCTATTGTCAATCATGTGCAGTTTAAAATCAGAAACTCGCTTATTTTTTTAAACCATACAAGTTGTCCTTAACAAGAATTACTGTTTGTACATTCAGAGTAATTCTTCATGTGATGTCAGGAATAGAAAGGAAGTTTGTTTTTCTTAGTTTGCAATTTTTATTTCTGTGCAGCTGAAGAAGAAATTCAATTAACTGCTCCCAGGGATTGTTTTCTAGTTGTTGGATTACAGCCTGCTAAAACCAAACCCATTGCCATCAAATTGATTCTGAATGACAGCCACCCTATAGGACAGAGTAGAACTGCTCCTTCAAGTTTAGGACACTCATTTTTTTATAGGAGTAGGCAACCTTATCTTTCTACTGCGAATCAGCTGGTCTGTTCAAAACACCAACCTTGGTTAGCAGCCCCATACTTTATCCATGTGCAGTGCCCTCATAACCCACATTGTACCCTAGCGCAGGTTAAAGAGAAGCAAGGATTGGCCTGTAGGCCATATTACATTTTGGCTTACAATTGTTCCTTAGGATGGTAGTTCTCAAATATCTTTGTGTAGGCATATAAATCTTTAAATACCTTTTTATAGCTGTATTTTCAGAATTATTATAATTTCATCTTTACTCCTGAAGTCCTGGTGGTATCATGGTTATGCTTTGGGCTTTGTTCCACAAGATCGACAGTTTGAAACCACCAGGTACTCTGGGGGGGAAAGACAGGATGTCTACATGTGTCCCTGGTGGTGTAGAGGCTACAATATGGGTATTCAGCACTGACTCATGGCAGTGAGCTTCTACTCCCGTCAAGAGGTACAATCTTGGAGACTCACTCCCATGTCTTATAGGGTCCCTGTGAGTTGCCATCAATTCAATGGCATTGAGTTTGGTTTTTAGTTCCAAGTGTACTCTCAGTTCTTTATATCACTGTGCTTCTAGAATCATACATCTGGATACATGTGCTAGTATGTTTTTTATTGTTGGGTGGTTTCTGAATTCATACTGGATTTTCTGACTAGAGCCATTGGAATGTTTGAAATAAGAGTGAGGTGAAATAATTGTTTATGCTATCCAAGTAAAACAAGACTGAATTCACTATTGCTTTTTAAAAAAAATTTTTTTTCTAAATTAGGAGTTAATACAAATATCATGTCACTCCATAGTTCAATCAAATCAAGCAGTATTGTACAATTGTTGCCACAATCAGTTTAAAGACATTCTTTTCCTTCCTGGACTCCTTGACATCAGCTTTCTTTTACTGCCCACCCTCTCCCCAAGCCCCCACTACTACCACCGCTGTACCCCCCAAAAACCCTTATTGTACTTGCTGTCCCTATAGGCCAGCAGTTCTCAACCTGTGGGTCGTGACCCCTGGGGGGGTTCAAATGACCCTTTCACAGGGGTCACCCGATTAATAACAGTAGCAAAATTACAGTTATTAAGTAGCAGTGGAAATAATTTTATGGTTGGGGGGGTCACCACAACATGAGGAACTGTATTAAAGGGTTGCCGCATTAGGAAGGTTGAGAACCACTGCTATAGGTTCATCAATCCTGGGTTTCTTGTACTGAAAAACAAAAAAATATATAACAAAATCAAGAGGGTGACACCCCCCCCCCAATGCCATAACACATCTGAGATAAACCCCAATATGAACAAAAACAAAAATACAGAAAATTTTGAAAACCAGATCAGGCCTAACATGCATCTGAGGGGGGATCAATTCCTTGATTTCTCTATGTAATATACTTGCAAGTGAGAAATCTTAACAGTATAAAAAAGAGCTGAACGAAAATCTAGATTATAACTTGTATTTGGGTAAGTATTCTTGTACTTGATTATCCTTTTAAAGGACTCCTTAATAGTTCAAAGAAGCATAAGCTATTCTCAAAATACAGAGATCATTTTATTATTCACAACTTTCGTGGTAATGATATTTTTCTTTGAAAGGTTTGACCAGTGTTTAGTTTCTTTTGGTTTAGAAAAGTGCTGAACTTTTTTTCATTCTTCCTCCTAACAAAATACCATTATTTTTACACAAATAACATTCATATTATACATCTCTTGGTAACTGGCCCTCCCCCTCCTCAAGGTGTTTTCATAGGTATACTAGGCTAATTTTTTATAAGAAAAATTAGCATAGTCTACTTGTAAAAATACATCAGGGAAAGGCAAAAATACATCATAGCTGGCAAAAAATGTGTAACATGCATATTACTTGTATAAAAAGACAAATTATGTGATTATTGATTATGAAGTTGAATACAATAAGAAGTACATAGCATTGAAATTATACCTAATTCCTTAAGCCAATTTGACATACATACAGAACAAATTCCAGAATGATGAAGAATCCCAAACCAGTTCTGTTTGCAGTAAACCTGGTAATCAGGATAAAACACAGAGTCCGGAACAATATGGAATTTGTTTAAAATGAAAAATGCCTAAGAGAAACCATATGTAGGGTCCAGGCGAAATTTATAGACTACAAAATGTGTTTCTGGTTCTTCTAACAAAACTATATTAGAAGCATTTTATTTGTGGAATTTTATGTGTAGAAATAATACAGAGTTTGGAATCAGAAAACTGGAATTTGAACCCAGCTCTGTGTTATAGTATGTGACTTGAGCAGACTTAAGAAATTGCCTATGTCTGTTGTTCAGAAGACTTGTTGAAATAATAAACATGTACATTTGGGAATGTCACAATTTCTCATACCCATCATGTTCTTAATACATGGGAATTGATTACAACTTCTCTGTATGCTGAATATAACACAGATATAACATATTCTTATCCATGAGCAATATATATGTGCACAATTCATGATCTGAATTATTTTACTTGCATATAGAACAAAATTTTGAAAATGATACACGGATTAATTCTATTTTGAGAAAACATGGGAAAAAATCAGAAAACAGGAAGAACTATCTCAAGAAAACATATATGTAATTTAAATTAAAATTTCCACCAACCAGGAATCGAAAAAAGGCATTCTTAGCTTTATTCTTAAAAAGCTAATATTCACAGAAGTTCATTTTAGTAACAATTACAACTTTGTAAACTGAGAACAGTACCTTAAAACACATATATGATAAGATTAAGTAAATATTTCCCAATTAAAGAACTTTTGCATTTTTTTCTTGGCTCTTCAAAAGTATAGTTGATTACTTATGTGATTTATAGGACTACTTTCTAGGATTAATTACATATAAATGTCTTTGAAGATCTTCTTTGGTTGATCTGTTTACTGAAATATACCCTATTGGTTCTAATCCACAGTATAAATTATTTTTATATACAGAAAGGAATGTAAAATAATTATATTTTTCTTAAAATAAATTTGATTTTGACTGAACATGAGGAAAGAATAAAATAAATCTATGGAAAATGGGGAAATAGACCGTTTTAACTAATATCTTAAAGAATAAATAATGGTCCTTAATGCTTCTTGATGTTTAATATTGTGCCTATAGCCTTTAAAAATGTTACCTTGAGATTTTTTTTATATACCTAATAATGATAAGATTCTCTTTTGTCTGTACCCTATCTAAATCATTTGAGAAAATAAAATGACAATCACATTCTGCTTTGACTAACTAAGCAAAAATAGATAACAAGAATAATTAAGTTATTAAAATGACGGTCCCTATATTGAGTGTATGTGTAAACATAACATAAAACTTGGTGAATTGAATCACCTGCATTTTTTTAGTTTTTCTAAAACATGATTCACATGACTTTAATATTTAATCTCACGTATATCTTACAAAATGTCCCTTCCTGAGTGCATTTTACTGTTGGCAAAATTGGTTGTACTGACGTTATTTAATCCATTATCTAACTAAATTATTTTTTTAAACATGCAGAAGGAAATGCAAAATCATGATGAAGATATTAATATTAGTTCTGTTTTAACTGAATGTCACAAGAAAGAAAATTTCAGAGATTCAAGTAAAGATTTGAAATTTGTTGCAATGAAAAATACCATAGAGAGGCACACATATGGAAATCAGGTAAAACTTCCCAAATTAAAATTTTGCTTTAGTTTAAAAAGTCTTATAAATTCACCAAAATCATTCTTAAAATCATTTCTCGTGAAATAAACATACTACAGTATTTTTTTAAACCATGTGTGTACAGTTTCAAAATGACTTTTAAACTATTTATATAACTGCCAGCCAGGTACCCATTTTTTTTTTAAGAACTGTCGTGCTGTTTCCTAACTGCATCTCTCTTTTCTCCTCTTACCTAGTATGTTGTCTTGGAATTGGTATTAATTCTAGTTTTGTCAGTTCTATCTGTATCCCTAGCATTGTATTATATAGGTTTGTATAGCAGTATATTATTTAGGTTTGTAACTATTAAATTTTAAAGTCTATACTATTAAAAGTCTTCTGTACCTTGTTTTGTGTGTGTGTTCAATATAATACTTGATTCTATGATCATACCACAATATTTTTAATTTTATATTGATAATGCAGTTGAATTTCTTCTTGTCTGTCAGGTTGGTTTGTTGGTCTTTGCCATTATGAACAATCCTGTTATAAACAGTGTGAACATTATCTTGCATGACTCTGGATGTACATGTTCCAGAGTTTTTCTAGCTCATGATGGACTTCTTGGAGTGTTAATTGCTGAGGCACAAGGACTGCATATTCACTGTACTAGACAGTGCCCAAATGTTCTCCAAAATGTTTAACCAATTTATAGCCACTCCAGCAGTCGATGAGATTTCCAGTTGTGTGTAGCTCTACTGTTTTTGATAGTGGTACATACGTGTATGTGTTACATATCAGACTCCTTTTCAGTTGAATTGGATCTGGTAGCATAGATCATTTATGTTAAGATTTGTTTGACTGTGATCCAAATACATATAGAAAGAAGCTAAGGACACTTATGAAGATAACCAAAAGAGTTACACTTTGAGAAAAAAACACAAAAAAGAAAAAGATTCCAGGAAAGACATCGAATGTAACAAAATTAAAAATACTATAAGAAACTGCTTATATACAGATCAGGTAAACCTTTATAAGCTAAACATCTTTTCATTTTTTGGCTCTTCCATAGTGTAATCTTAATATGTAGTGTGATTTTTATGAATATTTATTGTGTTAAATACAACCTCCAGGCCATATGAAGAAATTTCTTGTTAATCTGGTAAGTCATTCATACATGTTATGCTATATGTTAGTCCACAGTAAAAAACATTGTTATTTGCATGCACTAAGAATTTTGAGTTAATGATCAACAAAATATTCTATTGAATTTTGCCTAATTGTAGCAAAAATGGAAGGGAAAAAACAAGGAGCTGAATGATTTTAAATGGAAAATACTTTAAAGACTACATATGTATGTAGGTTACATACTATATAACAATCCAAAAATTAATCTTACTTTTCCCTGGTATAAGACGGACCATATTTAGTAAGATAGTCTATAGCCTGTCATTTAAATTGGCTCCTTCTTGAGTTAATTTTTCTTAGAGTAAGACTATTGAGAGTCTTAACTATAGCATTTTTAATTGCATGTATTCAGAAGGGCCCTCAGGAAAATGATATAAGTAAATATTCTATATGAACCTGGCAACAAAGAAAACTGTTCCAGAAAACATTTGAGACAGAAATGAAAAGTACCTCAAGAAAGCACATTTGTATGTATCAGGTCCAACTTGCCAAATTAAAAATGGGTTGCTTTTACCATTTTTCTTTCACTGTACAATCTTAATCTGATAATTTGTGAAGATATTTTCTGTAGTTGACATTGTATAAATGTGTTCCTTTTAACATGCACTGTGATAATTACCATTCGTGTTGACACTACATTGTACAAAGTTGTTTTATACATATATAGAAAGAAGCAAAGAACTCTGACTGTACCAAAAAAGTAAAAACTAAAGGTATCAGGACTGATGGAGAAATAGTGGAAGTAAAAAATACCTTAAAGAAGCACATATATAAAGCTCAGGTAAAATTTGACACTATTTTGATGATTTCTTATCCTTCCCTAATGTAAACAAAATATATGATTATTTATTATATTTAATATGTATTAATGTGCTTAGTTTATTAATTTGTTGTGTTTGCTTATATATTTGGCCATTTAGTTAATATGCCAATTTCTGGTATTTATATCTTAATATAATAGAAAAATTGTGTTTACCATAAATTAAATAGTTTTTGTAAATTTGTTAAAAAATTAATTGCCTTAACTTACATATTGAAAGAGAGCAGATCTTATGTCAAATGTCATAGTTTAAATATGTGATATAGACTTTATACTTGCGGTAAGTCATAGGTATGTTTCTGATATCAGACTTTTAGATGTGATCAGAGTACTTACTAAAGTTATTTATAAGAGTATATCGGCTGTAAAATAACTTGTGAATAATCAAGTCCTGGGTTATACAGTGTGATTTGGAACTGAGCTTATGCTACTATACACCTTAGATGCATTTAATAAATACTTGAACTGACTATTTAGAGTTTAGTGTCTACTTTGAAATTAAAATGACTCAATTATCAGCTACTTTATTAATTGTAAAGTTAAATGACTATCATATTGAATAAGCAGCCCTGGTGTAACAGTGGCTCACACTGCTAACCACAAGGTCAGTAGTTCAAGTCCTCCAGCTGATCTAAGGGATCAAAATAGTGCTGTTTGCTCACATAAAAAATTACAGTCTTGGAAATTCTATTTAGGATTACTGTAAATTGGAATCAACTTAATGGTGGTAGGCTTTTTGGATGTTACACTTAATATCACTTTTCAGTTATGCTCTCCTCTTTTTCACATGATGTATCTTTAAGAAATAATCTATCCATTTTAGAAGCCCTGGTGGAATAGTGGTTATGAGTTGGTATGCTAACTGCAAGGTCAGCAGTTTGAAACCACGAGTCACTCTGCAGGAGAAAGACAAGGCTTTCTACTCCCTTAAAGAGTTATAATCTTGGAAACCCACAGGGACATTTCTGCCTTGTCCTGTAGGGTCAATAGGAGTCAGTGTCCACCCAGTAGCAGTGAGTTGTTGGTTTCTTTGTTTTTATAGTTTCAATTTGTAAAGAATTTATAGTCTGTAGAATTTTAAAGCCAGGTTTTAAAACCACTAATTTTGTTTTCTCATTTAAAAAGTAATTTGTATGATACGCATACCTAAAATTAAGTCCATAAAAGAAGCATTAAATCCATCTAAACACTAGCCACCTTTGTAAATTAAGGTGCCAAATTGAAGCACATTTTAAAGAGAGAGGATTATTGAAGACTGCTATTGAAGACAGTAGCAATAAGTCTTCAGTATGAGGGGTTATCAAAAAAAATGGAATTTTATTTTCAGAGCTCTGTACTGTATATACTTGAGTATAAGCCGAGCCAAATATCAGCCAAGGCACCTAATTTTTTTTTAAATACTTTTATTGGGGGCTCTTACATCTCTTAACACAATCCATATGTTCATCCCTTGTGTCAAGCACATTTGCATATATGCCACCATCATCATTTTCAAAGCATTCTCTACCCACTTGAGCCCCTGATATCAGCTCCCCATTTCTTCTCCCTCTCACCCCCACCCTCCCTCCCTCACAAACCCTTGATAAGTTTAGATTATTGTTTTCATGGCTTACATCATCCTCCATCACCCCTCACCCACTTTTCCATTATTTGTCCCCCTGGGAGGGGGTTATAGATGGTTCATTGTAATCAATCTCCTTTTTCTCCTCCCACCCTCCCCTAATCCTCCTGATATCTCTACTCTTATTGTTGGCCCTGAGGGGTTTATCTATCCTGGATTCCCTGTGTTGCAGGCTCTTATCTGTAGCAGTGTGCATACTCTAGTCTAATCCGATTACAATGGTAGAATTGAGGTCATGATAGGGGGGTCTAGGAAGCACAAAAAAACTAGAGGAAAGTTGTGTGTTTCATCAGTGCTATACTGCACCCTGACTGGCTCATCTCTTTCCTGTGACCCTTCCTGTGAGGGGATGTCCAATTGTCTACAGATGAGCATTGGATCTTCGTGCCCATCCCCCCATTCACATTGTGTATGAATTTGTTTTGGGTCTTAGATGCCTGATACCTGATCCCATTGATACCACGTGTCACACAGGCTGGTGTGCTTCTTCCATGTGGGCTTTGTTGCTTCTGAGCTAGATGGCTACTTGTTTATCTTCAAGCTTTTAAGACCCCAGATGCTGTATCTTTTGATAGCTGGGTACCATCAGCTTTCTCCACCACATTTGCTTATGCACCCATTTTGTCTTCAGCGATCGTGTAGGGAAGGTGAGCATCACAGAATGTCGGATTGTTAGAACAGTTTTCTTGTGTTGAGGGAGTACTTGAGGCGAGGCCCAGTGTCCATCTGCAACCCTAATTCTTAACATATAGATATGAGTACATAGTTCTATTCCCCTCTCATTATATATATATACATATATATATTTACATATGTACATGCCTGTATTTAGGCCTCTATAAATGTCCTTTGCCTCCTGGTTCTTTCCTCTATTTCCTTTTACTTTCCTCTTGTCCCACCATCATGTTCAGCCTTCATTCAGTTTTAGTCATTCCTTGCTGCTACATTGCCCTTGATTAAGCCCACAAGGCATCCTATACCCTTCTCTCCATTGATTTTAGGTCACTTGTTGTTCCCTTGTCCCTGGGTTGGTCCCCCACTCCCTTCCTTTATCCCACCTCCCCTTCTCCTGTATCCCCCTCAGAACCATTGGTCCCATTCTTTTCATCTCCAAATTATTTATCCTGCCTGTCTTATATAGATAGACGTGCAGATACATTAATAAGTGCAAAAGCCAAATAAAACAACAAAGGAAGTCAAAACCAACAAAACAATAGCTACAACAACAAAATAACAAAAAGCCACAAAAATTGGAAAGTCTATAAATAGTTCAAGGTCTGATTGTTGGCCTTTACAAGTGTTTTCCAGTCAAGTCTAATGGGGTGCCACACTGTCTCCAAAGTCTATTTTTTGTATTCCTCAAGGATTTCATCACTTGCTGCTCTGCTGCATGCCCTCATTGCCTCGCCCCAGCATTATGAGGCCAGTCTGTGTGCTTTTCCTGCACTGTGTCGCCCGTGCTATCCCTTGCAGCACCATGGTTCAGTGAGGGACACCGTGTCCATGGTGGAGCTGGCCCTATGGTACTCCCCGTGCCCTGTCTGCTCCGAGCAGGAACTTCGTCCTCAGGGCTTGGTGGGCCAAGATGTCCTCTCCTCCCTCTCATCCCTTTTTGTTTCTCCCATGGAGGCACCTAATTTTACCACACAAACTGCATTAAAAATGTGCTGAAAACTTGGCTTATACATGAGCATACATGGTATTTAAATTTTTTTACAAAACAACCTTATTACTTTTAAAGTACTCTCCAGTCCACTTAATACATTTGTCAAATCTCCGATTCACATTCTTGGAAACATTTTTTAATCTCATCTGTTTGGATGACTGACAGCACCTTCCTCATTTTTTTCTTCACCTCTTCTACATGGTCAAATTGCTTTCCTTTCATGTCCCTCTTCATACACTGAAACAAAAAGAAGTCACATGGAACAAGGTCAGGTGAGTAAGGGGCGTGGGGCAAGAGAGGCATGCTGTTTTTTACCAAGACCTGTCGCACTGAGATGGCTGCTTGAGCAGGTGCATTGGCGTACTGGCAAAACCAGTCCCCCATCTGCCACAAATCAGACCTTTTTTGTAGCACACTGTTAGGCAATCTTTTCAGAACCTCTAAATAGAAAGCTTGATTAACAATCTAATCTAGTAGGAACTCCAAATGCATTACAAGGTGACATTGTCATCTGCTTGGGAAATTGATGGATATCCAGAAAGAGGTTTGTCATCAATTGGCATTTAACTTCTTTCGAAATGAGAAAACCACTCACATACCTGAGTTTTTCCCACAGAGCTGTCCTTGTAAGTTGTGTTTAACATCACAACAGTTTCTGCGCCATTTTTCCCGAACAGGGAAAAAAATTTCACAGCCACACACTGGTTTCTTAAATTGACCATCACCAAAAAAGAGGTTCCATTGAAAGTGCTTTTATGAAAAAAATTCACTGTAACCAGAGAGAACCTTCCCAGGCAATACCACTGGGTACATAACTCAAAACAAGTTGCTTGTTGCTTGCCTAGTGGGAAAAATGCGTACTACGAAAGCTCTGCTCCACCCAGTGTGTTCCGGTTTGGGGGGTGAGGGTAGGGGTAACCCCCTCATATATAGAATGTTGTTAGGTGGTGTTGGCTTGATTCTGATTCAGACCCAATATACAACAGAAAGAAAAACAATTGCCTGGTCCTGCATAATCATCACAGTTGTTCCCATGTTTGAGCCCATTCTTGCAACCACTGTGTCAAACATTGAGGGTCTTCTGTATTTTCACTTAGTCTCCATTTTACCAATCATGAAGTCCTTCTCTGCATCTTCTTCACTCTGATGGCATATCAAAGTATGTGAGACAAAGTCTCGATATCCTCACTTCTTAGGAGATTTTTTAGGTTGTACATCTTCCAAGACAGGTTTCTTTGTTCTTTGGCAGTCCATGACATATTCCATATTCTCCACTATAATTCAAAGGCATTAATTCTTTAGTTTTACTTATTCATTGTCCAACTTTTGCATGCATATGAAGCAGTCGACCGTAACATGGCGTGGGTCTGGCACACTCTTGTCTTCAAAGTAGCGTCTGCTTTTTAACACTTTAAAGTGTTAAAAACTTAAAGAAGTCTTTTTCACATTTTCCCAATGAGATATTAGTGTTATTCTCTGAGGACCTGATGCCGGGGGCTTAAGTGGAGAGCAAATGTTTTGAGAATGATGAGGGCAATGAATGTACAAATGTGCTTCACACAATTGATGTATGTATGGATTGTGATAAGAGTTTTATGAGCCCCTAATAAAATGATTTTTTTTAAAAAGTTTCCATACTTGCTTATCAATGAAAGCTGAAGGATATATGAGTTACTTAAAAATGTTGACCGTTATGAATAAGCCACTAACAGTGAGTTAATTCTAACTAATAGCAATATGATCATGGGGTTTTCAAGACTGCAGATAGCCTCATCTTTCTCCTGTGGAGTACCTGGTGAGTTTGAACCTCCGACCCTGTGGTTAGCACTCCAACACTTAACCAACAGCGCTGGCACTCTAAACAATTATTCACAATGTTTTATGTAAACATAAGCTTTCTCTTTTTTTGAGTAAGTCTGTAAGAAGGAAAATGCTGGATTGTAAAATAAGTCCAATTTTGATTTCATAAGAAAACTCAAACAATTTTCAAAATAACTTTATAGTCTTCATCCTAACCAACAATATGTGAGTCCAAATGGATTAACACCTTTACTAGCACTTATTTTTGTGAGAAGATAAAAATGTTTTGGAAATACAGGTGCTAAAAACAAAGCCAGAAAAAGCATTGTGATTTAATTATTGCCATGGAATTCTATACATTGAAAAATGTTTAACAGGACTAATTTTATGGTATATTTTATTATGTACATATGTATGTATTGTAACACAAAATAAGTCATAGCATTCAATAATGACATTTTAGGTGGGATTATATAAGAAAGAGACTCGCATTTTTGTGTTCTATAGGCTTTTCTGTGAAATATCCTTTGCATTTCTAATTATTAAAAAGTAAGGACATTCTATACCTCCAGGTCTTCAAAGTGAGATTAATTTAAAAAGAAAGAAATAGAGAAGCTTTTGTACTCATGAGAATTATTTTGCCCTAAAGTCAAGGGCATCACTGCTCTCAGTAAGCCTGACTGTCGTTAATTACAGCCATTAATATATTTTTGTAGTGGATTTTAAGTTTGCCCAGGTATTATAACATTATGAGCTTAAAGGTCTGTTTTTATTTACGTAAAAATGTTTAATTTTCTTTATATGATCTTTCTTTTATAGGCTGTCAGATACAACTGTATTAAGAGAGACAAACAACCAGTGTACAATGTAGAGGTAAGGGACTTGGAATGGAGTGGTAATGGGAACAAAATGTTTTGGGTGTGCTATTTTTATTGCTTTGTTAATTTTATATAAAGAAATGTGATATCTGTTTAACATAGATAGATTTTCTAGTCAGAAATGGAAAAGAAAAATACTCTTCTCTCAAAGCTCTTTAAAATATATATATTTTCTCATACAGTAGTAAAGACTGACAAATATTTAAAATGTATGCCATGTGAGTTATGTATCCCTTCCTGCTTTCAAATTTTATGTTATAGTCACTACTTTTAGATTAAAATTTTAATATTTGCAGATGTATATTTGTTCCTTCATATCATTCCTTTAAAATTGTTTGATTCGATGCCATCTTTCAAAGAGCATTTTTGATCCTTTGATAATTCATTCAACTACTAACTTTGATTGTAGTGTCAAAAAGCTTTTGACCAATGTAAATCTATTTTGTGTAATTCTTGGAGCTCAAAGAATGGACATTCCCCTGTATGATTTTATGGCATTGTAGCTTTTGTCAGTTTTTGTAAATCTTGATAGTGCTTCATGATATCCTGATACACTGAGTATATCATAAATCAAAATAATTTCTCTGTGAGGTTTTCTTTAAATTTAAGAAGTAATTTAACACCAAAATATCTATGTCAGATGAGTATAGCTCTGACCATGGCTTCCTCAGTATCAGCCAGACTTTTAAAATTCCTTCTAAAGCTTTGAAAGTGCTGTTTAAGGCAACAAAGAATAATAAATGTACAAATGATGTATATTTTTCCAATGTCTTGTTGTATCTCTATATATATATCACACACACACACAATCACATATCAACCCTAAGAAATAATAAGGGCAAGAATTACATATATTTTACAGATAAGGAAATGAAAACCTCTAATTCAAGATTTGAATTTCACTCTTTTCTTCGAGTCATCCAATCTTTCTTTTTTAGGTTAAAAATGCTGAATTTCCCAGAGGCATATTACATTTGATCGAAAGCCTTATAGAAGGACAGTTTTTCAAAGAAGCCATTGAGGAACTTTCCTCTGTGCAAGCACATTATATTCCCCCCGTGTGCCTTCTTCATGCTCTTCTAGAGAACATTCTGCAGGTGCGTGCACATTTGTAAGAGTATAGAATCTATTCCAAAGAATGTGCAAATGTAAATGCTCCTGCAATTTTATATATCTTATAGAGGCTATTTTCTCTTCTGTTTTTTAGCTGCTGTTATAATTTTAATAAGAAATTAAATATACCTATATTATCAACTTTTTTCAATTTAAAAAAAATTTTGTCTTAAAGCCAGCTTGATTAATTTCTATATATGTGGATAAGTCAAAAGGTGTTGTTACTGGTCTTCTTGTTCATACATGCGCAGGTATCTTGCAAACAACATGTTTAAATGTGTCTGTGATAAAGTGATGCCTGCAGACAAGTTTTCTCAACACCAACAACAAAAAGATCCAATTAACATGCTCCCACAGGTATCTGCTGGGCGGGTTAAGTTCAAGGCAGAGAGGTCCAAGTTTATAATCACTGTTTGTTTCATATTCCAAGAAGTCGTTTTAACGGATTATTTCAAAAGATACAGGACTATCGTAGAAGCTTATTATGAAGGCATTTTAACAAAATTAGAAACTTAATTGGCCAGGAAAGTTACTATGGGATTTTTTCCCATCATGTCAATGAATTTGCTCATTCTGAGAGGGTAGTAAGGGCTGTCCAATGACAATATCACTGGGAAAACTTAAGCCATCTACTCTACATCTCTGCTGTTGCCCCTTCAGACTTTATTGTTCCCCAAACTCAAAGAACAATTTAAATGATCTCTGAGGTTGCCAAAGTAGTGTTTTTGACATGGAAGAGCACAGAAATCTGCGCAGAAGGATTGTTTTGTTCTTAAGTGCCACTGAGTAGGTTCTGACCCATAGTGACCCTTTGCACAACAGAATGGAACACTGCCTGGTTCTGTGCCATCCTCACAATTTTTCTGATGCCAGAGCCTATGTTTGCAACTACTGGACCAGCACATCTCATTGAGGGCCTTCCTCAGTGAAAACACCACTTTAAGTTACAGAATTCGATTGAGACTATGTCAAGGAACAATAGCTCCACATTTTTTAGATGTTTATTTAATAAAAATCTCTATGCTTTTGTAGGAAAACATTTTTACTGTACCTCTAGGAGAGTAGGTAGTTCTCTGAGTGTTTTACCTTACTACTTTATCAATCTCCAAGTTAATTTTCTCTGAAAAAAATTATCCGATTTTTTTTCTATGAGTATAAAGTAGTAAACATAAAAATCAGATTACATTGATCCAGCATGGCATTTGATAAATTACTCCTTTAGTAAATTAAGACTAATTGTTATTCATAGTATACATAGGGAGTGAACATACCCCTTGAACTATGAAAATCAGTAGGAACAGCTATTCAAAGATCTTATTGCAATCATGTTCTTCATCAAGGTGCCAATAGGCTTAATCTTTGCTGGACTTATGCTGTTGATAGTGAGCATATAACTTTTAATTTCTGTTAGGTGATATTTGGGGACTCTTAGTCTCAGTTGCTTTAATCGTAGGTAGAAAAATGGGTGTTTCATATAAGCTGGCCACATTCCCTAATGTGTACATAAATATTTAGAGTACGCCTCTCTATACATTGCAGTATTTAATTAGCTAAGCATGATGCTTTCATGATGCTGATATCCTGTGTCAGAAACTTATCTTTGGTAATCAAGTTAGGCTAAGGGTATTTTTATAATTATAGCTGAATGATGTGCTGAAACTCCATTTAGTGTTCCTATTTATTTATTTTCAAATAATAGGATAACCTGGACACATTTTCTGGTCGATACTTCCATATACTGTCAGCTCTTCTTCAGCTACATCCTCCATGGAAGTCCTCAGCCATGTCAAGATATTACTTAGAGCTGTTTCAGTGCCCAACTTGTATGAAAGGAACATGGTCTCTAGTAGAAGTGCTTATCAGGTAAGAAGCTTCTTAGGAAGATACTAAATTTTATCTACTGGAATTTATGTCCCCACTGATCTATGATGTAAAAGATTGTGTAACTTACATCTTGCTGTGATCCTAGAAGCTGTACCAAATAACCAGTTTCAAAAAACCAAACTTACAGAAAATAATTTACATGTTTGACACTAACGACATAGTGTGTATATATACACATATATATTTAATAAAAGCATAGTACACATATTTAAAAATGTATAAAAAGTATAAACATTCCTAACTATATAATATGTTTTAGTGTTCAGATTTTTTCAGCTAGAAATTTGAATATTGAAACAGAACTTAATGTTTCCTAAATATTCCATCTCTTCCATGCCTTCTTTACATGCTGTCTTCTGCCTAGTCTACGTTGTGCTCTTGTTAAATGTTGTCACATTAACTCCAATTCACTGTGGCTGTATGAATTGAACAGAACAAACATCACCTGTTAGTGCATGGATGGTGTAGAGCCTGGCCATCATTTTCTGAAAAACTAATTAGTAAAAACCTGATAGATATAGATATAACCTTCCTTTGCCTTCCAGATAGTCTTCCTTTTTCTTCTTTTTCAATAACAAAATTAATCTTTTTTTCCCTTTCTTCTCTGATAACACTTTGTATCTGATGGGTCTCCTTCAGGAAGATTGTTTTAACAAAGTGTTCAGTTTTAGAAAACCCATTCTGGTGGGAGAAAGGGTTAGCTCTTTGAGTCATAAAGATTCACTTGCCATTCTAGTTGTGATATATTTGAAGGAGCCAATCAGCTACCTCACATCTATTTGCTCATTCTTTCCGTAAATTATCATTGATTATTCCAGGAGCCAGGTACTATGCTACATTTCAAGGATACAAACATGAGTAAAATTGTAGTTTCTGCACATTTGAAGGTGACTGAGATGTAAACATAATACCAAGATAACAACTAACCCAGAAAGCACACGATGTGATGGAAATAAAATTTGTGTAACTGACATCCTTCTTTATTTTAAAATCTATTTTTTTTTCTTCACTGCCATTTCCTATATTTAAAAGTTCTCATTGCTTCTTATATAAACTATGGAAGTGAGTGCTGTATTGATCATAACTCCACTTTTTTCTTTATCTTCTGTAGTACACCAGTATGCTGGTCTCAAAGCGATCTTGTCATTTCTTAGATTAAAGTCTTTTATTGACTCACACATAACCTGTAGAAGACAGTTCCTATTCCTTAGTAAAACATGTGAGACTTTTCATCATTTAGACCCTGTGTGTCTCCTTTCTCATCCTCATCACTTTCCTAAATGTGCTCAGCTACTGTAATATGTCCCATTTCCTCTCCCTTTGCTTTTGTTTTCCTGGTCTGTCTCCACCCATTGCCCCCTCCTTGGGCATCTAGCCAGCCCCTAATTCCCTTTTACAACCACTCAGATGCCAATGACGAACTCCTGTCCTTTCCTTGAAGTTAAGTTTGTCACTCTCAGCAGCCTGTGACTTTCTCAAAGGTAGATTTTCAGTTTCAACTCCATCTACCTAATACAATGCCCAAAACATAATACATAATACATGTTTGGATAAACTAGTTCATGTTGCAAGGAGAACGAATTTGGGCAGCTTAAAATTTTACTTTTTTTCTAGATTTTATTTCAAAATAATTGAATAAATGAGAAGAGAGAAGATGCCTCAATAAGCGATTGGGGTGTAGATTAAGCAAAATTAGATCTGAGCTGGCCATTGTTGACGATGGCTGATAATTTTCTTTCTGCCTTTGTGTATATTTCAGATATTTCATACTAAAGAAAACAAAGATATTGTACTATGGTTAGTAGTTTTCAAACAGACCGCCTATGAGACTAGCTGATGTTATGGAACAGATTTGAGTATGTGGAAATATCTACACAAAAGAGGAGAATCCAACTCTACATCTCCACAAGCACCATTCTTATTAGGCAGAGGTCAGATAGATCACCACCTTCCATCTTTCTCTATCTTATACTGATGTCAGCAGGCCCTCCCATGATATTCTACTTCTTTGATGGATGTGATAATCCATTGCAGTGGCCACACAGAACTCAAGGAAAGTCAGGATTGTGGGAGTTTACTGGGAGAAGTTAACAGGTTACCGCAAGTCAGGATTAGAAAGCATTATAAGATACAGCCCTTTTGTTCACACTTCTTCTCAGCCATGCACACAGGTTATTTCTCTTACTTTGGTCCTTGGCCTCTCAGCCACCCAGTCCCTTCGTCTCTTGCTTGCTGTCTAATGGATTCAGTGCCTCTGGTACCTCTGCTGCCTCCACCACTTAGGCAGGGATCTCACATGCACTCCATCTTTCTTAATAGTTGACCCTGCTTCTGAAATGGCTCACTTTTTAGCCCTGTGGAATGGGAAAACTGACCAATTCCTGAGTTAGAGTCTTTTACCCCTTATTTTCATGCTTCCAACCATCCAACCGGATGGGAAATATAATACTATGGATAGAAGAGCCATAGAAATTAATTTCACTTCGCTGCCAAGTATTAAACAAATTGAGATTTCATAACAATTAAGGACTCTCAGAACCTGAGAATATGGTATTCAGGGAGGTGAAAGGGAAGGTAAAGACAGAAGTAGAAAGTTAAAAATACATTGTTGCTATGATTGATAAGGAAGTTAGGAGAAGATTCTAATAAACATTGTTGCCTAGACTGTTGGTCTAAGTCTTATGAGTTTGGTAATCATGAATTCTCTTTTAAAAAAATGCAAAACTCTGCTGTGCAACACAGTAGCCACTGCCATATGTGACTAAATTAATATTATGTCATTAAAATTCAGGCCCTCAGTTGCCTCCATTCAATTCCAACTCACATGATTGGATAGGACAGAGTAGAACTGACTCTAGGAATACATCTTTCTCTTAATGAGTTTGAAGCAATGACCTTTCAGGAAGTAGCCAAGTACTTTAACCAGGACTTGACCAATACTTCCTTTGAGTCCACTAGTCATATTTAAGTGTCTGATCAAACACCTCCTTCATCATAGAAAGTGCAATTGGACAGTAAGGACTGCAAGAGATGAAGAAAATACTGAATTTTAAAAGATCTAAAGAAATTGCCCTGAATGAATTTCACTGGTGAAATAATCAAAATGAGAGAAGAGGAAGAGTTATGAAGAGTATTGTAAAGTGAGAGCATACCTGGTCATCTCAGGCAAAATAATGTAACGAAATTAATAAATCTATTTTTACCAGCATATTAAAGGAGTAGAAAGGAAAAATACCAAATAGTTGTTGAGCGTTACAGTCATTGCAAAATAAAGACATTATATCTGAATTATTAATAATTAAGTATCAATGGCTATTTGATTATATTTAATAGAGGAAAGTATATTGTTAATATAATTTATTAAGTAATACTTGGTCCACAAGTGACTCAATGAGTTGTTTGCATGTTATACATTATTGGCTTTATGTTTTTCAGGTCTTGCCTTTTCAACGAAAAATTTTGTCACCAAATTTCAGAAAATATTATTGACTCTAAGGTGTTCCACCTGACACTGCTTAAATTTTTCTTTAATTTAGTTGAAAGTGAAGTACAACATCTTAGTCAAAAGTAAGTTTTAATTATAATAATGCCTTGGTATATTCCTGTCGTTTCTGTACATCATTTTTTGTAGTCATTTATGTGCATATTTCTCAAATATTAAAAAATAATTTAAGGGGGATTTCTTATTTTAGAAGCACTTTGGACATTTTTCTTCAGTGGCAGTAAATTTTTACTCATTTTCTCATTCCCCGGTTCACTTTTTTTTTTAATTGAATGCTATATGCTTTCCCAGAAACCTTAAGGAACATTTCTGCTCTGTTTTAGGTTCTTTGGCTTATGTATGTTTATTTGGTAAAACTTTTCTCAAGATTCATGTAATTTTAAAATTATTTAGTAATCAAATATTTAAGTTTGAATGTTAACATTATAAGCTTACTAAATTTTAATAGGTTCTAAAATGCCCATGACGAAATTTGCTTATGTTCTAAAAACTTAATAGGTTATATATGTCAACAGTGTTACTAGTTTCATTGAATTGTGAACATCTGTTCATAATTTACCATTTGTTATAATTATATCTTTTGTGTTATATGACCTTTCTGTATTCCAAAATTGGTAGTATTTTGTGTTTTGTTTTGTTTTTGAAAAAGATAACATGTCTAATAATTACAGTAATCAAGATTTACGTTTTATATTTTAATTAGATTATTTGAATGGTCAGATTCTCAAAGTCTGACAAATACAGGGAAAGCAATTCTTCTTGAACTCTTTTGGTCAGGAAGTGAGACCTCTGCACTTTTAACCAAACCTGTAAATATGCTTTTGGAGTGGACTATATATTCTCACAAGGAAAAGTACAAATCTAATGATGTAAGTAGATTTCTTCACAAATGAATAGTGCTCTGTGGAAAAATACCTTGAACTGTTTCATCTTTTCCTCCTCCCTCTATAATTTGAATTACTTGAAAAAAATTAAGATGTGCCCAAATATATATATTATTTTCTCTAAACTTTTTAAGTTAAGGTGAAATGCCTACAGGGTTTTTCCTCTTAGTTTTGTACATAGTAGGCAATTATTTTGAATATTAGTGAAAAACAGCACAGAAATATATATTGATTTACCATTCTAGTTTTGTGTGTGTGAGTTTACTTTTGTGCACTTCAATTCAAATCAAGGACTCCCTGATAAAAGAACTTGAATCAATCCTTAGTAATATTGTGTACTACTAAAAAAAATTACTATTTGTTTTTAAACTATCATTCTGGATGTTGTTATTTCCTAAAATAGTTCTTCAGGCGAAGATTTGGCTGCTATTGCACATCTAACAGACAGTGATTTTAATCTATTTTCTACCTGAAGTTTAGTTGGCAGAATTAAATGTAGTAAAATATGCAACATAAATAGCAACATGCATGTGAGTATTGAGTGCATTATAGGCACTTTATTAGTTGTGTCCCCTAAAAAGCTATGTTGAAGTCCCAACCCCCAGTACATATGAATATGACCATATTTGGAAAATGAGTCTTTATAGATGTAATTAAGTAGAGAATAGGTTATACTGGATTAGGATGGGCCTTAATCATATAACCTGTGTTCATACAAAATGAGGGAACTTTGGACATGGATCATGTAATCGCAGGGCCAAAGACTGGAATGGTGCTTCTCCAAGCCAAGAAATGGTAGGGTTTCTCCCAGCATCAGAAACTTGAAGAAAGGCATAGAGCATATTACCTTTCTCCCACATTTCCCAGAGTGTTCAGAGAGCTCAAAACCCTACCGATGCCTTGATCTTAGACTTTTATCATCCAGAACTGTGAAAGAATTAGTGTATGTAGTTTTACACCATTCATTTTCTAATAACTCTATATCAGCCCTAGGAAACATATACAGGTTTTGGTACAGGGAGTGTAGTGCTGCTGTAAGGGACACCAAAAAAATGTGGAAATAACTTTAGAATTGGGTAATGCATAGCAATTACAAGAATTTTGAGGCACACGATAGAAGAAGAAAAAAACCCTAGATTGTCTTGGAGAGTCTGTTGGTAGAAATATATAGTTCTTAAAGATGATTGTGGTGGGAGCTTCAAAAAAGTGGGAAGAGCCGTAAGCAAAACTTCTAATATCTTAGAGAACACATATATTGTTATAAAGAGTATGTTGCTAGAAACAGGCGTCTTGGGGTGATTCTACTAGTAGATATAAGTGAAGAACAGGTTTAGGGAAACTGCAGGAACTGTGATTCTTGTTTTATTCGGAACTGGGGAAAGGTGGTACCTACTATAGATAAAGTGGAAAACATCTTAGCTGAATGGAATTCTGTTACAGGGTGGAAAAGGCTCTTTGGGTTAGTTGGGCTGCTAACTATAAGGTTGGTGGCTCAAATCTGCTAGCTGTTCCAGAGGAGAAAGAAAAGGCTGACTTTCCCCATAAAAATTCAGTCTCAGAAACCCCGTAAAGCAGCTCTACTCAGTCCTATAAGGTTCCTATGAGTTCAGTATTGACTCAATAGCAGTAGGTGGGTGAGATGGAAGGTAGAGCTTGATAAATTTGGATATTTAGCTGGGATTTGCAAGCAAAGTGTGGAAGATTGATTTTGTTTGTGTGGCTATGCATTTGCTGTTAATTTGTGATTGGAAACCCTAGTTAAACCATATATGATTTCTGCTTTCTGAAATTTATTATTCCTATATAAGGAGACTTAAGAAGTCCTGGTGGCATAGTGCTGGTTTACTAGCTGCAAGGTTAGCTGTTCAAACCTACCAGATAATCTGTGGGAGAACAATGAGACTCTACTTCCGTAAATATTTATAGCCTCAGAAACCCTGTATAAGGTTTGCTGAAATAGATTTGACTCTTTGGCAGTGAGTTTGGCTTTTGGTTATGGGCATGTAAGGAGGATTGGGGGTAAAGATGTGTTTCTTCTTGTTTACAGGGTCTGTGTTACTTATTATATCAAGCTAAATACTCGTGATTTTTTCATTAAATTTTCAGCTGTATATGGGTTGTAAAGCTATCTTGTTTTGTGTAAGTAATACATCATCATAGTTCCTAGTTGTAATGACATAGCTGATAGTGTGGTAGTATTTTCTTGGGCAGCTGTAAGCACAATAGTGAGTACTTATGATTGAAAGCTCTGGAATATAAATGGTTAGACAATCTAACTTAAGAGAAATGTAATTCTCTTCAAAAATTTTCTTGATCCATTTTCTCTCCACTTTTTAAATTCCAATTAAATTGCTATTACACATTCTCTTCATATCCTCTATTTATAAAAAAAAAAACAAAAAACTCGTTGTCATCAAGGCAATTCTAACTCATAGCAACCTTATAGGACAGAGTGGAACTGTCTCTGTGGGTTTAATTATACAAGCATAAGTCAAGAAGTATTGCTACTAGGGTTCCAGTTCGCATACTTAGCTTTATGCCAAACTGTGTTTAGCTCTGAGGCCACACACAGTCAGTGGATAGCTGCAGACGACTCTCTCAATAAAACACTTGTCTTACTCTACACATGGTGCCTTCGAAACAAAGCAAGTCCGATCAAAGCCGAGGACTCTGTTGGGTCAGTTAAATTTTAGACCGAGAGGTCAGATCAGAAGATTGTGGCAGCTATCTTTTGGGATTCTATGGTGGTAGTCTTGATAGATTTTCTTGAAAGGCAGAACAATAATGTGGGCTTATCTGAGGAAAGGTTTCAAAAATAAAAAAACTGTATTTCTGTGATAAAAGTTAGAAAAGCTGTGCCACAGAATTTGTGTCCATCCTGACAATGTACCTGCTCACTCTTTGAAGGTAGTAAGTGCTTTCCTATGAGAATATTTTGGGGGAGGGAGAAACCTTACCAAATTCCACTCCACAGCACCCATTTTGCCCCTTCAAACTTCTTTTTCCCCAAACTAATAACATATTAAGGAACACAATTTGAGTACTCCAGGGATTTCATATCTGCCACTTTGATGTGCTATAAAATAAAGAACACAGAATTCTTGGGGAAAGAGAGATAATGGAAATACTGCCTTCAGAAATGTATAAATGCATGGAGGCATGGGGCTGGGGCTTCCGGCAAGATGGTGAACTAGAGATACATGCTATACAGACTTGTACAGCAAAGACATGAGAGATGAAATAATACAGAAATCATAATCCTGGAATCCTGAACTTCAGAGGAAAGGATAGAGAAATGGATTGAATACTGGCTAGGCGAAGAATTGGAATAAAGTAGCAAGACATGAGACAGAAGGGTGAATTTTCAGCTAGTCTGACACTGTGTGGGCATCTTGAACTTTCATAAGCAGCATTCCATCGAGACAGTGTTTGGTACACCTGTGGCTGGCAACATGAAAATTAGGATCCTCCCTTGTTCCACACACCTTCATGGAGGCCCTACTCTATGGCCAGTAACACAACCCACACAAAGTCCTTCTCTACCTGAGGTCGGAGCTGTGGACTGGGTCCTGGGTGTATCACTCCATATCAGGATGCAGGAAACTCGCCCTCATCACACTACCAGAACACAGTGCTGGCTCCCTAGACATACTGAAATCCTTCCATAACAGTTGCCTTCTGGGCCAGAAAAAAATCCCTCTCCATAATAAGCAACCTGACCTCAGCCACCATGTGGGCCTGCACGAACTACTCCTTGATTAAGTGTCCTGACCCCAGACAGCATACATGCCAGCAGGAGCTCCATTCAACCACTACCCCACGTGTTCCCACACCACCTCAGGAGCTCCTCAGCCAGCAGAGGGGGCTGACCCACACTGGGTGTCCTTGCCTACCACACTTTTCTCCTTTCTTTGTTTCTTGTTTGTTGGTTTTTCCTTTTCGTTCCCTCCCTTATTGTTATTCTTTCTTTGTTTCCCTTTTTCTATCTTCTGGGGGTTTTTTTTCTTCCTTTTATCCTGTCTCTTTCATTTTTTCTTTTTCTCATAGGTTTTATCTTTTTTTTTTAATCCTTTTATTAGGGGCTCATACAACTCTTATCATAATCAATACATATATCAATTGTGTAAAGCACATTTGTACATTCATTGCCCTCATCATTCTCAAAACATTTGCTCTTCACTTAAGCGCCTGGCATCAGGTCCTCAATTTTTCTCCTC